TGGCTCTGGATGTTTCTACTCCAGACTCAGTCCACTGCTTCCACAGGTCCCCCAAGGTCTGGAATCGGTCCTTCTCCACAATCTTCCTCAGGGTCCGGTCACCTCTTCTCGTTGTGCAGTGTTTTCTGCCACACTTTTTCCTTCCCACAGACTTCCCATTGATGTGCCTTGATACAGCTCTCTGGGAACAGCCTATTCGTTGAAAAATTTCTTTCTGTGTCTTACCCTCTTGCTTGAGGGTGTCAATGATGGCCTTCTGGACTAGAGCCCTGCACGGGCCTAAAATCTGAGCCCGTGTCCAGCCCGGCCCGAGGGGGTGGAGCCCCAGCCCGACCCGGTCCGAAAAGGTTTTCAGGATTCTCTGGCCCGACCCGAGCCCGACTTTTTTTAACCAACTAAATGAAAACAAAGTGCGTCAATCCTGACCAATGTGTTAAAAGACGTGCAGGATCCGATCAATTTGTTTTCCCCTCAATTACCGTCACGGAGATAACGGCGCAGGCTCTGGTGGTAATCAAGTTAAATTTTATCTCTTTCCAACAATTTTCACAAGAAAACAAAACAGTCAAGAGCAGGGTTTGTGTTGTGTTGACCAGATAGTTCCCGTATTTGACCGTTAATTTTGACGAAGAATAGAAAAAATTACCCCGACGCATGCAGACGATCTGACATCTTATTCGTTATGCACATTGCAGATGTAGCTAAATCACCCAAGAAAAGATTCCCATCTGAACATCTGTGCTGGACATTGCTCAGCGCAGCTGAGCGCGTCGCAGAACCAGAGCACATGTGGGAAGCTTCCTCCCACTGAAGCGAGTGTTTTCCAAACCCTGTCACTCAGAGAGACTTGTCACTTACAGTATAAAATGTTCCCTGATTATGAAACTTTGGCTGAATAGCGCTTGTTCCTGTCTCCAATGTGCGACGCATCCAGGAGCCGTCTGAGGAGAAGCCCAGAATCTCACACCCTCTTCAGCTCAGAAAGCGCATATGATTACGCACAAGCGTGACCCAACCCGGTCTCACAGTAAGACTGGGTTGGAACTGTTCAGGTTTACGCAGACAATCTTCACATAGAACTGACTTACAGATATAAAATTAATTCAGTAAAATATAAAGCATTTTATTTGAATATCCATTCATTATTTTATAAGCACAGAGAGCCGCATCAGATGGATGGAAGAGCCGCGGGTTGCCAATCCCTGCTCTAGTTCAAGATATCATTAAACTTCCAAAAGTGCTGAAAAGATTAAAAATGGGGCTTTCCGTGCACATACAATACATTACGGTATCCACCGGGATTCCCTGTCTTGAGCGCAACGAATCACAACACAGATTCAGAGACGTGCCGAGTTTGTCATCCAAAATGCTCCGTTTTATAACTTTTGAATGGCTGATCAGATTCAAATAATTCCAACGGTTCCTAAAAGTACATAAAAGCAGCTTTCCAACGATCTATAGCACGAAGCAATCAGAGTTAGAGAAAATATCGCTACGAGGGGAAATCCTGCTGTACAGCCTGATTGAAACGGAGCGCAGCGCTGTGATGAAAGCGGATAACCTATAAAATGACATGTTGAGGACGCAAACTCAATACATCTCTTTTATTGTGAGGTAATAATTTCTCTGAGTTTTGCGGTTGTGGGCGGGAGTAGACATGTACGCTGCAGGTGCGGGCGGGAGTGAAACACACACGTTGCGGTTGCAGGCGGTAATGGTCAGAAATTCAGCAGGAGCGGGATGAAGAAAACAGTCCCGCGCAGGGCTCTACTGCTGCGTTTGTGTTTCAATTTTTTTGATGATTTCGATTAAAAATAAAGGTGCCCGGCCCGGCCCGAGGTAATTGCACAGTCGTTGGTTCGAAGCCCGGCCGTCGGGCCGGGCCGACCCGAGGGCCTAGGGCTTCAGTGCAGAGCTCTATTCTGGACAGCAGTCAGGTCGGCAGTCTCGGTTTTGAGTAATGAACCAGGCTGGGAGTTTTTAAAAGCCTCAGGAATCTTTTGCAGGTGTTTAGAGTTAATTAGTTGATTCAGATGATTAGGTTAGTAGCTCGTTTGAAGAACCTTTCCATGATATGCTAATTTTTTTGAGATAGGAATTTTGGGTTTTCATGAGCTGTATGCAAGCCCCCACAATGCGGCTCAAAAATTGAGTTCAACCCGGAAGTACCAAAAATTGCAGTTCCCCCCTCATCCGCTGTCAGAAGCGAGCAAATCCTTATTGACTCCCATGTTACAAATACCAATTTCACAGCAGAAATAAACATGTTAACAGCCTGGTACTAGGGTTGTCATAGTAACCGGTGTAGCGGTAAACCCCGGTAAAAAAGTTGACAATAATAATAACCGTCATGTTTTAAAAAAAAAATATTATCTCGGTGGATTACCGTGGCTGCGGTGTAGGCACTGTGACCCTTACCAGCCACCGTATCATCTGCTGAAGTTGCCGGCGGCACACGCGCGCTTTGTTGTTTACAACCAAAACTTTCTTGAAGCTAAAGCTGAAATAATGGCCAAAGGAGGAGACGGCAGCGCTCAGGAGGACATTTTTTTATCCCTCAAAGAAGACAAAGTCGGAAGTACGGGCATCTTTTGGATATTTGAAGAATGCAGAGGGACAGTTGATAGAAGACGGCTATCCAGTTTGCAGCACGTGCAGAAAAAGTGTCTGTGAAAGGCAGCAACGCTTAAAATCTCATGACACATCTAAGTGACCATCACCCACAACTCTATAGTCAACGCAAGGCAAGCTAACATTAGCGTTTTAGCTAAAATGCGTGATCCGAGGGTTTGGGTTGAGGGAGAATGCAACGAGTCGCTATATAAAGCAGCCGCAGCGCCGTTGCCTGCATATAAACCGTGTCGCGGACACCCCCATGTTGAAATGACGCTATGCATTACGGGGCTCCCAGGGGCAGATAAGAGTTGGTCTCTCTCCAAGAATAATTATGAATTTAAAATTACTGCCTGATGACATTTTCCCAAATCTTCAAAGCTCACTGGAAGGACACAAACCGAGGACAATATTTTCCTGATATAGGGTTTATTACTCAAGTAAGGGTAAAAAAAAGTATCTGATTAGAAGGCTACTTGAGTACTGAGTATCATCTGATCTAATATGTTTAAAATGATGACACCAAACAGACAAAAAATAAGTTATGGGCAAATATTGGTATTTTAAAGACTAAAGGGAAAAATTTTTAACAAATAAACAACATAATTACAAAATAACACATTTTAAGTAAAATTTGGACACAAACTGAGGACAATATTTCCTGACATACAGGGTTTATTTAATTGTGTGAAAATGTAGCACGTTTAAAAAAATGCCGTGATAATACCGAAAACTGTGGTAAATTTTCACTCCGTGACAACCCTACCTGGTACCAAAACATGTTTTTTGTTTAAATGATCTAGTTTACACTCATGACAACTCTGAGGGGGGTGAATTTTTTTCTCACTCTTCTGTTTAAGTGTATTAAAAGCCTAAAATTCTGTATAATTAATGAGCATCAGACCCACGTGACCACAGAGCTAGCTCCGTGAAAAGGCCTCAGTCTGAGCCTCGGTCTGGCCTGGAAACTGTTCCGGGATTTTGAGTCTCTGTGTTTGTGTATTCTTTTTGGGATATTATTTGTGCAATTGTTGGACAAAATGACTTGCTGTGGCATTAATTGCACTAATAGAGCGTCCAAGGAGTCTCCACTTCATTTTTTTCGGTAAGTAAAATTATATTTATGTATTTTAGGTCACTGCCAAGCTGAGCTTAGATTTTAACATGTACTGTTTAACCATGAAATTTAAATGTAATAGGGTAAAACCCAGTGCATTTAACATAATGCTGCACTTTAGAAAATGTGTTGAAATATAACATGTTGGTGGAGCTGGGTTCTGACTATCGGCTTGTGGCACTCTTGGGAGACTGAAGTTTTCCACCCGCTTCTGCCCTCCCCGCATCTCTGTCTGATCGCGGCTTCTGTCTGCTGCGCGGGCTGCCGACTTGCGGAGCTCTGAGATGGAAACCTTTCCACCCGGTTCTCCCCAGCGGCAGCTGTGCGCATCTTAGATCGCAGTGGCGCTTGTCTGCTGTGCGGCTGCCGGCTTGTGGAGGTCTCGGAGACCTCTGTGTTCCACCCCGTTTTACCCAGCGGTCAGCCCGGTGTATCTCTGACTCAGAAGCTCTGGTGTTGTGCACAGTTAACTCCGGTTGTAGCTAGGTTGCTACCTCCGTTAGCTTAGCTCCCACGTCTGCGTTAGCTTCAGGTTAGCTTGTAGCTAGTTCGACCGGGTGTCGTCAGTTGATCCCAGCCTTACAGCCCCACCCTCAGCTCCACTTCTCTTCCCTTTTGTGGAATTGTCTGGGCTTGACGGAACCTGTGACACGGTCAAAATGGCGGTGGTGGCCACCTCCCATTTGGTCTCAAAAACGTGTTATTGGAGTCTATGGAAACCCATTGTCCAATATTTATATGTCGATGGCTGTATGCAAAAATCATCAATATTTGAAACAATAAAAGGCTTGAACTACTTCAGTTGTGTGTAATGAATCTAATATCTATGAAAGTCTAATGTTTATCAGTACATTACAGAAAATAATGAACTTCATCACAATATGCTAATTTTTGAGAAGGACCTGTATTTGTGTCTTCTTTGACGGGGTGTGGCGGTCTGCATCATTGACCGACACCGCAGCGGTGAGTACGTCATGTTGTCTGTTATCCAACAGCATGTGGGGACAGATTGAAATACAACCGTAGATCCCGCCCCACGACTAAAAGTCGTCAACGGACCGTGGCCGGACTGTATATTCACATTTATAAGATGGCTTGCCAGGCTAATCAAATAGACTTTGTGGTTACAGAAATATACTAGTTAAAGTGTGGGGCCTAGGGCCCAAAGGCTTAACCAAGTGGATGTGATTTAATCTGCTTCATGGTTCTTCCTCAAAGAGCTGCTGAGGAGGATCCAGAACCAGAGAAACAGACATGTCAAAGCTTTTACCTGCTGAGGAGAAGACACAATCTGCTGAATACTGGCCACAGCTGGCGGCACTATCTGTGGGAGTTTAGCCACCTGAGAGGAGCAGCACACAGGAAAACCTCACACCAGCACACAACTCCACAGAATAAAGATGCATGGTGGTGTTTTCGATAATGGCTTCTGTCAGTGGTGTGCTACCTGGATTTGTTGGGCAGCAGCGGTTTTCTGGCCCTGGGAGATGGATGCTGTAGTGAAGAACTGGGGCTTGATCCCCTGTTGGTGTGGTGTGGTGGTATAGGTCCCTTTCTGCTGCTGCTGCTGAGCTGACTGGGCTGCCTGCATGGTTACCTGCTGGCTGCCAATCTAATAATAAACCAGAGAACAGAACATGGTCAAACTAACAGGTTTGACCTGAAAGGAAGAGGATAACAGCATGAGTGTTAACTGATCCTGGGCCTGTCAGAAAACACCTCATGAGCCACTGGACAGGCTGGGTAAAAGTTGAAACATTGTGAGACTGTAAACAGAACTCCATAAGTAAAACTGGCTGATGACGACACCTCTAAAGTGATGTGAAACATGTCAGTAAAAGTCCATTATTATTATTATACATATTATAATAATAATAATAATTATTATTATTATTATTATGTCTAATAAAAAAAACTGGCAGAAATTTAGATGATCTCAGGTCAGATTTCTTGCTTGATAGGCAGCAGGCTGACCTTTAACCTCAGAGGGTGTGCACAAGAAAAAAAAATGTTTTTTTCAATGAAAACTGAAAAATCTCTTAAACTGATGTTTTTAAAAAAGTAATGTTGAACATTTGTTTTTCCTGTATTTACTGAAATAATCCTGAATTTAAATGTTTTATTGTTCCATGTTTTCCATGCTGATCAGTGAAGGATCCTGTTCAACCAGAATGCTGCCTGTGCCGGCTGTTGGGCGCCAACAAAAGCTCATCTAAGTTAGAGGAAAACAAGAGAAAACCCAACATGCAGGTTTAGCTGCTGATTGGTCGACAGATGTGATGTCACTACCTTCTGCTGAACAGCAGCCTGCCCCTGTTGCGGCTGCCCTGCCTTCGGCGGAGCTGCAGATGCTGCCTGCAGCTGGGGTTTCTTCATGGTGATCAGATGTGGGACCTGCATCTGGGTGAAGGGCAGCGTCTGCATGGGTGCACCTGAAGGACAACCAGAAAACCGTTAGGACAGCCATCATAACAGTATGTCCTTATTTCACCCTTTAAATGTTATTATTATGCCATCTATGACACAACCTCTTCATGTTTGTCTCTTCCATAACAGACATAAGATCCACATTAGGCGGAAGACCATTTTGAACACACCTGTCTTCTGTGCCTGGCTGATGGCCACACTAATACCTGGCAGCGTGGTCACTCCAGAGACCACAGTCGGTACGGACACGACAGGAGGCTTAGTCAGAGTAACCTGAGCTGTCTGTCCTGCCTGGGCCTGGATCTGTCCCTGGGGGGGAACTCGGGTCTGAGAAATAAAACAATATGATTATTATCTTAGCACAAAACTTCAGTTTGTCTTTTCATAACATCCCAAACAAATATTTCTGGTGATGTAAACCAGCCTAGTGTCTTCTTGGTGAGTCACAAAAACCATTCAACATGTCCATTTTGTATTCATGTGAGATTAAATGTCTCCTCACCAGTCTGGTGGTCACCTGCAGGGTGTTTGTGGCCACCAGAGTCCCAGTTCTGGATGCTGCCACAGCTATCTGAGGACTGGCTTGGCTAACCTGAGCATGCTGCACCTGGCCGGTCTGCTGGGTCACCGGGACTTGTTGTCCCTGGGCCGGGACAACGGCTGCAGTCAACTGCTGCTGATGCTGTAACGGCACCTTATGTTTCTGCATTTTTATCAACTCCTGCAAAAATAATTCAAACTGGTTAATTTAACGGTTTATTGATTAGAATTTTCATGTCAGATTACATGCTGTAAGGCGTGGGTTTTGTTTATAATTTACCTGAGTTTTGCCAACAGCTTTGATCTGAGAGGACGTGGCCTGCTGCTGCTGCAGCTGCTGCTGCTGTCGGAGTATCTGCAGGTGGGCCGGGGTGAGAGACTTTGGTGTCAGAGGCATACCTGTGGCTAGAAGCACAAACCCAAATGAGTCCGATGTAAAGGAAAAACAAACAAAAAGGTGTTGGGGAAGCGTTAAGGATGTGCACCTGCAGTGACCTGAGGGACCAGTGGGCGGGTCTGTGACTGCACCGGGCTCAGAGTAGTAGAAACCACAGCAGACGCAGTCACTGGGGTTACAGCTCGAACACCCTGACCCGTCGCCATAGCCACCACTTCAGCAGGGGCAGCAGCAGCTGTAACAGTCCTCTGCTGTGCGTGGACCACTGCAGCTCCAGCTGTGCCTCCGGGCTGCATTGACAAACAGAAACAGAACAAGGATGGTTCTTCATGCCTGCTCGAAGGCTAAATGAATTCCAGAACAGCAGTAAAGGGTGAACATGACTCACAGACAGGGTGCCTGGTATGACTGGAGATGCCAGGCGCTTATTGGCCTGGAAGGGACTTGGGGGAACTCCAGCCACTGTGTTCACAATCACATTCCCCCCTACAGTGGCTTTGAGAAACACAGAGAATAATTAAATCATCACATCAGCACACAGTGATATGGTGTGTGTTGTGTGTGTGTGTGTGTGTGTGTGTGTGTGCGTGCGCGTGCGTGTGTGTGAACATACCAGTCTGGATGGTTGTTCCTACAGTGGCATTTTTTATGGCTCCAGCCTGAAACACAAAACAGTCGTGTCAAACGTTAAAAGGTGGGAGGAGTCTCACGCTGGTAGAAGATGCTCTCACCAGCACTGCTGCATTAGACACAGCGGCGGCTGTAGCCACTCCTGCAGCCTGAGGGACCTGAGCTTGGCCAACTGCTGGGGTCTGGGCCTGACCAGGAGCAGCTTGGGCCTGGGGAGCTCCAGCCTGCTGCTGGGCCAACTGCTGGGCCTTCTGCTGCTCTGCCAGGGCCTGCAGACGAGCAACCAAAACATCAACAGAGACCACACCTAGATCAGGCTTTTCCATAAACCAGAACTTTTTCAGTTCAAGGAAAAAAATACACTGGTGTCTCAAAGTATTCATCAATGAATAATACAAGATAGATTTAGGAGGCTCTCTTTGCAAACGCTCCTGTTACATTCTAATAGCACACAGATGGAAAGGTCTTGTGTTAGCCGAGTTAAGAGTCTCAACAGACTAGCTTCACTATTATGGAGAAAAACCTGAATGAATCTGTTATAAATGACAATAAAAAACACAGGACAGTCCTGACGGACACCCCTGTCACCACTGTGGACTCCTTCCGCTTCCTCGGAACCACCATCACACAGGACCTTAGGTGGGAGCCATCCATCAGCTCCCTGCTCAAAAAGGCCCAGCAGAGGATGTACTTTCTGCGGCAGTTGAAAAAGGCCAAGCTGCCGGCACAGATGATGGTGCAGTTTTACACGGCCATCATTGAGTCCATCCTCACCTCCTCCATCACTGTGTGGTACGCTGGAGCCACAGTGAGGGACAAACACAGACTGCAGCACATTGTGCGCTCCGCTGAGAAGGTGATTGGCTGCAGCCTTCCATCTCTCCAGGACCTGTACGTCTCCAGAACTCGGGGGCGTGCAGGCCGGATAGCAGCTGACCCTTCGCACCCAGGTCACAAAATTTTCGAGCCGCTTCCCTCAGGCAGGAGGTTACGGTCCATCCGGACCAGAACCTCCCGCTATAAGAACAGCTTCTTTCCATCTGCCGTTAGACTTGTGAACAGCTTATAAACACACAACCATGCTCGTCTTCTGTACTTGACATAACGTCACGTTATCGGCCATATTACCTTTACCTGCCTTTTTTATAGCTGAATGTTTTATGCTAGTTTTATTATATTTTATTCTACTAATTCTATTTTTGAAATTTATTATTCATGTTATATGTAGCACATTAGTACCAAAACAAGTTCCTAGTTTGTGAACTGCTTGTTCACTGACAATGGCAATAAACCTTTTCTGATTCTGATTCTAAAACTAGAAATATCAAGCACAGATGCAGCGTTTGGTGTGATCTGACAACACTCTGCCTCACAGGTGAAGACGAGAGCGCTGTGGTGAGAGGAACTGGTCTCTCTCACACCGATTACAGTAATACACAGAAAATGAGTTTACTGGATTATCTGTGTGTAACAGCCTGCAGCAGTCTGGGTAACAGCTGCTGTTGGAGATATATAATGAAAAACATTTGGTGTTATAAAAAGGCAGGATATTCTATTGTTATCAGTGAACCACACCTTTAGGTTCATGTTTTTGCTCATCTTAAAATGATACCACACTCCATTTTTTAATCTTACGGCCTTTAATACGTCGTTAAAAGTGTCAGGTGATTTGATTAACTTGACCAAAATGGTGCTGCATTGTAAACCAGATAATTGCACATAATGTTGCTGAGATATTAAACATAAAGGGGGTCTGAACAGCTGAGCTGGATGAGGAGGATCACACCTGAACGCATGAGGGGGAGTTTTTGACTTTGTAGGTTTTGATTTGAATGGACTAAAGCCCTTTTTACAAGACACACAATGTGCCGGCAAATCAGCATAATATTACTGCAACGATGTGTCTTAAAAAGTGCCATGCCAGCATGGCGTTGCGCGAATTTTGCGGCATTTGTTCCACCTCGCTTGGTAGTAATATTGCGGTAATTGTCTGTCTTATAAGCAACGATTGCGTCTTGGCTCAACAGAGGTTGTTGTCATGACGACGTGGGGAGTTACTATATTGAAAATGAAGGTAAACACCAGCAGTAGCTTTTGCTTTTTGAACAAAATCAGCTGAGACGGCAAACTGGAGTGCTGCAGCGCTCCATGAGCTTTTCTTCGTTGGAGCTCAGATCACCAGACACTGCACTTTGGAGGACGGACACCTTTAGGAACGGCTTGTTAGAAAAAACGTAATGATCGCGGCTTCAATCGCAATAGAAAGCAAGTTATGTTCAATTCAATTTTATTTACATAGCGCCAAATCACGACAAGAGTCGTCTCAAGGCACTTCACATAGTAAACATTCCAATCCAGGTCAGTTCATTAAGCCAATCAGAAAACAATGTTTCCTATATAAGGAACCCAGCAAATTGCATCAAGTCACTGACTAGTGTCAGTGACTTTACAGTAATCCTCATACTAAGTAAGCATGCAGCGACAGTGAGAGAGGAAAACTCCCTTTTAACAGGAAGAGACCTCCAGAGGATCCTGGCTCAGTATAAGCAGCCATCCTCCACGACTCACTGGGGATCAAGAAGACAGAGCAGACACAAGGTCAATGTCCAAGATAAAGTGACATCCGTGGCAGCGCAGAGACCGCCCCATACCTCCTTTATGCCACCTAATCTTTTATAAAAAGGACACGACTGCGCCACATTACCGCCACAGTCTGACCACTTATAAACGACCTAAAGCTTTCTGATGCCATGCGTTGCGGCAAATTGATGGCATTGTTTTGTAAAAACAGCTTCAGTCATGGATGATGTATTTCTCCCAGCTCTAACACGCACGCACGCACACACACACACACACACACACACACACACACACACACACACACACACACACACACACAGAAAGTCACCTTTTTCTCTTTGGCAATCCTTTCAGCCCGCTGAGAAGCCACCTGAATGGGGGGAAGGGGCTTATCATAGCTTATCCCACTAAAAAGAAACAAAAACACGTTAACCTTGGTCTCTGGTTTATTTATTATGAAGCAAAACCTCTTATCTGTTTTTAAACACACCTTTCTGCCAGGACCGATGCATGTTTGGGATTCTTCTGGAAAGGATTCATCCCGAGCCTGTTTGGGTTCATCACCATATCATGTAAGAGCTGCTGATCTATGTGGCGAGACCCATGCTTTTCTTGTTTACAGACACAAATACTCACAGTGGTTTGATGGGTGGACTCCTCTTGCTGGCTATTATCTTCATGAGTTCGAAGCGGCTGCTGTACAGCTGGATCTGAGAGGCGTTGTCATCCTGGGTGTAGATCTGACAGGTTCTCAGAGGACGGCTGTTCTTACACTGAAAGCAGAGACTGAAATGAAAACAGCAGCAACAGCAGGGTTCATCCATCAGTCAGAAACAGGACAGGATACCTTATAAATGCTCTTGGTCTTCTTTTTGGGGTTGGCCTCATACACCAGCTGAAAAATGGGTGAAGTGGATTAGATGAATAATGCTAAAGGGTTGGGGTTAAAGTGAAGACGTTCATTACCTTGCCCTCCTCTCTGGGAATGATGACGTTCTCATAGCGGTTGCGACACTGTTTGGGTGAGCGGTAGATGCGGCTGCAGGAATTCACCACATCGCTCACCAGGTCCCAGTTAGGTGTGTGTGCAGGAGACACGATGGTCAGGTTCAGGGGCAGCTCCAGCAGCTGCTTCACAGCCTGATGGACACACCACAACAACAGGTTTCATTAGAGATTAGAAACATCAACATCTACCGTAAAGTGGGTGAAAGGCCTGAAGTACCTGCAGCAGAGCCCAGTCCTCACTGATGATCCACTCTGGGTTGTCCTGACCAGCCTCCATGGCAGGTTTGACCAGTGACGGGAGCGGTTTGGCAAAAGGAGCCTGCTGCTTGAGGGAAAAATTCTTCTTCTGGTCTTTACCCTCTCTGCGATTTTTCAGCATGCTGGCCTTCTCAAAAAGCGAGCGGGGAGGTATTACCGTCTCCCCATGGCGCTTCTTCTTCTGTCTGGCTGTAGCTGAACAAAAACACACAAGATGAAGCCCAGAAACATTGCTCACATGCCTCTAATCTAATAACAGCTAGGGACTTTTACCATTGGGGTCCATCTTCAGCCTCTTGTGCTCCTTGCGGATGTAGATTGGAGGCAGTTTGGACTCTGGTATGGGCGTGGTGTCGTACATCAACATCATCACCGAATCAATGTAGATGTCATTGTCATCTTGTGGCGGTGTGGGCGGAGTCCAAAGCTTTGGTAGAGGAGCACAGAGCAGAAAGAGCAGAGCAGGGGTTAACAATGACAATAAGGAAATACATCACACGCATTTGAAAAGGTCTGGTGTCTTACCGGCATGATCTCTGTAGGACAGTCCTCTGCATCAAACACATACTCCTGTTGGAATGTAAAGAGTTAATATCAGCTACAGGACCGTGTAAAACAGAAAGATTACGGATCATCCCACCATGTTGTAAGCATCCTCTCTGGTGTAGGTGAACAAATCTTCTTCTCCGTCCGTCATCTGGTTCTCCTCCTCCTCCTTCAGTCTCTGCAGCTGCTGCAGCTCCCAGCCTCTCTTTACACACTCCAGCTTTTCCTGGAGAACAGAAACCAAACATGAAGCCATCAGTCTCACTCATAAACGATCAAAACTCCACCAACCCATGGACAGACACCACTTTAGGTTAGTTAAATCAAAGTTTCTTACCTTTAAGGCAGCTTCGTCATCACTGACGTGGAGGTACTCCAGATAATGCAGAGCATATCTTTCAATGGGAATTAGCTGATTAAAGATAAAAGAAAAACCATTAGTATTAGTTTATTATTTTAAATGGTTAAAGAACAAACACCCTGTAAGTCTACCTGTTCCATGACTGCATTCAGCTCCTTTATCAGGCCCGGCTCTTCTCTAGCTGGGTTCTCCGACTCCTCTGATAACTCCGGGTCTCCTGGCTCCTCTTCCTCGGACTCAGCATCCAGGTTGATGCTGTGGAGAGCCTGGATGTAGGGTCGTGCTACTTTGGGAGAAATCGCTTCAGAGGCTGACGGCTCCTGGTGAAGAACCACAAACTCCTCCACCTTTACCCCCGAACCAGCCTCCACTTCAAACAGGTCTTGAATTGTCCGCTACAGACACACAACATCAGGTCGGTTACTCAACATCCTCCTCTAAATTAAACCAAAGCAACAAATCCATCAAATAACCTCATTACATTTAGTAACAGACTGATGTGAACAGCTGAGTTGATCCTACCTGTGTAAGGAAAGCCAATGAGTAGTCGGTGCCCTGGGCAGCCACCTCTCTGATGAGGTCCTTGGTGCCATTTTTCAACAGCTTCTCTTCAATAGAATTGCCACTCTCCAGTCTGATTAACAAGAACACCATTACAGTCTTTAACTACCATTGATCAGATTAAGTGAATGGAGCTTATTTAGGCCATTAGTAGTCCAGAACGCTCTACAGCTGAACGGTGTAAGGAGTTAAAGCCGGTGTTACTCCCCACTGGGCCTTAAAAGCACAAACGAAACAATAGTTTCAGTGATTTTAACTAAAGGCAAAGATGAAACTGATCAATGGAGGAATCCCTTCCTATACTGATGCAGAATTAGGGTTGGGCATTGTTTGAATTTGAACGATTCCCATTCTTCGTTTCATTCTGGTTCCTAGCGATTCCCGATTCTGATTCTTTCAAGTGGCAGGATCCAAAAACATTACAAGTTTTAAATGAGCCAGCTAACCTAATCTGAACTTTTACATGAATTTTAATCCTATGAACAATAACATCACCTTCATTTAGAAAAGAAACATGTTCTCAAGAAACTAACAAAAAGACTTGCAGCTCAGCCAGTGTGTTTGTTCTCTTTCTTAACATTCGTTTCGATGTCTCACTATGGGATACGCCCCTCCGCGGATTCCTCAGAAGCACTTATCTCAATACGCCAATCCTGATTGGCCAGTGACCGTGACGTACGCGTCCCCCTGCTACTATAAGTAGCAAGCGTCCCAACGTACGCACTATTCAATCACCTCTTCTCGCTTCGGTGGTCGCTTATCTCTGAGGTAAGTTAGCTCAACTGTTCACAGACGGAGCCTTCTAATATTCTCTCCGTCGCCGAACGTTAACTTACCGTCCTTCTGTCCTGACCTTCACCATAGTCTCGGGGCATAACGAGCAGCTTCACACTCCAGTGCATCTGTTCGTTCTCTGCTAACACACCAGTTAGCCAACATGGAAGCCGCTCCTCCCACCAGAGGAGTCGACGGTGCAGGAGCTCGCCTCTGTACCTGTGGGAACAAAATCTCAAGCAAAGACCCGCACAGGGTCTGCTCGAGCTGCCTCGGGCTGGAACACGCCCAGCTGGCATTGGAAGTCCCCGGGTCATGTGAGAGCTGCGCTTGCTTCACCCTGAAGAGCCTTCGCCGGCGGCTAGCGCGCCAAGCTAGCCTGTCGGGGAAGGACCCTTGCCTGCCGGCCCCTGGGCCACCGCCTGGGGACGCCAGCGAACATGTCCTCCCGGAGCCGGAACCGTGTGCCGAACTCAGCTGGGGCTCACAGCTCGAACTGGCCGGTCCGAGCCACCCCGCCGAGGACGTGTTGGAGTTGGACTACGGAGACGACGAGGACACCTCGGAACTCCTCATTTCAGAGGAGGACGAGGAGGACGACGTCTTTCTCCCCATCGCTCAGGCCTCCATGCCTAGCTTTCCGTCCTCTCCCAGGGATGGAGCGGTTTCTCCGGCCGCCCACCTGGACATGCAGTCAGTCTGCCGACGCGCTGCGACCAGGCTCAACATCCCTTGGCCCACCGTGGTCACTGAGGCTGTCAGATCCCACTACGAGGGAAAGAAGCTGCCTCAGGCCACGAGGGCGGCAAAGCCCCTCCTCCCCGCCTTCCCGGAGCTACTCCAAGAAGTGGGGTCCTCCTGGGACAAACACCCGTTCAGCTCCAGGTCTCCTGTCCAAGGAGCCTCCTCGCTGGACTTCGAAGGGATGGAGACGGCTGGCATGCTTCGCATGCCGCCGATGGAACCGCTGGTTGCAGCCCACCTGCACCCACGGCTCTCGGCGACTTCCTCCAGGCCTCCCGCTCTCCCTGCGAAGGCGGACCGCTTCCAGTCGGCGCTGAACGAGAGGGCGTACAAGGCTGCCGCCATCTCGGTCCGAGCTTTGAATGTCTCCTCCATGCTCTCGGCGTACCAAGCCGAGCTCTGTGAGGACATGAATACGAAGCCGGACCCGGAGGTGCGGGAGGAAATCACCGTACTGACCGACATCTGCCTGCGTGTGCAGCGCTGCGCGGTCCATGCTACGGCTAAAGCTATGGGCATGATGGTGCTTCAAGAACGTGTACGATGGCTGAACCTCACCAACCTCTCTGAGAGAGAGAAGGACATTTTGGACATGCCAATCGTGCCTGAAGGCATTTTCGGCTCTGCCCTGGCATCAATGCAGCAACGGTGTGCGGCTAAAAAGAAAGAGGATGAAGCCCTTCATCTCTGCCTTCCCCGTAAACCCTCACCGGCGCTGCCGGCTCGGCCGAACCTGCCTCAGGCAGCTGCCCGAGCCCAGCCTCAGTTCCGGATCCCAAAGCGCCCGAAGCCTCAAGCTGTCCAACCAGCTCCTTCGGGCTCAGAGCCTCGACCAGTTTGGCCTCAGGGATCCGGCAACCAAGCTGCTCCGCCACCGGGACAATCCACCAGACACGGCGGTCAGCAGGTGAGGAGGAAGAAGTGGGCAGCCTGTCGGAGTTCTTCCCTCCCGACGCTGCAGCTGGCGGTTCCCCGTTCGCCAGCTCCTCCTGCTGGATGTTGCCATGGTGCTTTCTCCCCCCCCTCACGGAACCCCTCCGGCAGAGTTCCCGAGCGGTCCAGGGTGGGGCCAGGACGTGCAGCCGGCGGTGCCGGCTCAAAGCACACGTCACAAGCACTCACACTGTTTTTCACAAACATGTCACGCTCAAGGAGCATTAAAAGGTTCGCTGTCGCATCCAGACAAGATGTCAAGGGCGCAGCAAAAATCAATATAAATGTCACCCATGAGCGGTTCCAGGCGGGGGCGGCGCCACGGGTCGTCCCCGTAAGCCTGGGCCGTCAAAGCACAAAGCCCCCGCGCATGCGCAGTGGCTGCCACGAGCACCGCTGCCCCACAACCTCTGGAGGGAGCTGGTGCTCCGTGTGTCACGGCTGTGTCACCGCTCTCCACTCACAGGGAGGAATGGACAGCGGTTTCTGCTTCACGTTGGGTGCTGAGAACAATTTCGAGGGGTTACAGGCTCCAATTCGCTTCTGTTCCTCCTCGATTCTCCGGCGTAGTGTTCTCCCACGCCCAGGGGTCGTCAGCTCACATCCTTCAGGGAGAAATCTCCTCCCTGCTGGAGAAGGGAGCGATATGCATTGTGCCTCCCGATCGGTCTCAGAGCGGTTTCTACTCCAGGTACTTCCTGGTCCCGAAGCGGGGAGGGACCGGGATTCGCCCGATCCTGGATCTGAGGGCCCTGAACCGATGCCTCAGAAAGTACAGATTCAAAATGCTCACGCTCTCATCCCTTTTGCGTCTGATTCACCAGAGCAACTGGCTCACCTCAATCGACCTGAGGGACGCATACTTTCATGTTCCCGTGTACCCTCCACACAGGACATTTCTGAGGTTTGCCTTTCAGGGAGTGTGTTACGAATACACCGTGCTCCCATTCGGCCTCTCGCTGAGCCCGAGGGTGTTTGTCAGGTGTACGGAGGCGGCGATCGCCCCTCTGAGAGGGAGGGGCATTCGGCTGGCCACGTATTTAGACGACTGGCTCCTGCTGGCACGGTCCAGAGAGGAGACAGCGTCAAACACGCTGGTTGTGATTCCTCCCTTGTGTGGTCTGGGTTTCAGAATAAACTGGCAGAAAAGCGCTTTGCTCCCCTCCCAGAAAATAACCTTTCTAGGTCTGAATCTGGACTCAGGGGCGTTCACGGCCCGTCTCTCGGCACCGCGCGTGAACGCGCTCTCGTTCTGCCTGGCGCGCTTCCGCCTACACAGTTCGGTGCGGTTTGCGTTATGCCTCAGGCTTTTGGGTCTCATGGCGTCGGCTATTTCAGTGGTACCACTCGGCCGTCTACACATGAGAGATTCTCAACGCTGGGTGGCTTCTCTGGGTCTCTCTCCAGTACGCCACAGAGCGCGCAGGGTGACGGTCTCTGCAGCGTGCGTCACGGCGCTCCGCTGTTGGCGTCACCCCTCCCTCTTGGCACAGGGGGTGCCTTTGGGGTTGGTTCTCGTGAGGAGAGTGGTCACGACAGATGCGAGCCTGTCAGGTTGGGGGGGGCTCCTGGAGGGTCGCTCTGTCAGGGGTGTGTGGAGCAGAGAGCTCTGGGGGACACACATAAATTATCTGGAACTCCTCGCGGTCTTTCTAGCCCTGAGGCGCTTCCTGCCTTTTCTCTCCGGCCATCATGTCCTAGTGAGAACAGACAACACCTTGACTGTGGCTTATATAAACCACCAGGGGGGGCTGCGCTCCGTGCGGTTACACACGCTGGCACGCAGACTGATCCTATGGTGCAGCAGGCATCTCCTCTCAATCAGAGCCACCCATGTCCCGGGTGTTCTGAATCGGGGGGCGTATCTGTTGTCCAGAGGGACACCCCTGTACGGGGATTGGAGCCTGCATCTAGCAGTGTTGGAACAGATTTGGATCCGGTTCGGCACAGCCGTAGTGGATCTTTTTGCCTCCAAGGAGAATGCTCACTGTCCTCTGCGCGACCGAGACGCTCCACTCGGCGTGGACGCGCTGGCGCACGACTGGCCACGGGGACTGCTTTACGCTTTTCCCCCAGTGGCCCTGATACCACCCACCTTGCTGAGGGTACGAACCCAGCTCCACACTCTCATTCTGGTGGCCCCATACTGGCCAGCTATGCATTGGGTGGCGGACATTTTCCAGCTCCTGGAGGGCCAACCTTGGAAACTTCCGCTTCGCAGGGACCTGGTGTCCCAAGCGGGAGGCTCGATCTTCCACCTTCATCCAGAACGGCTGGCCCTGTGGGCCTGGCCCCTGAGGGGTGCGGGCTAGTGTCAGCAGAGCTGCCCCAGGCGGTCATTCGAACCATTCAGAATGCTAGGGCCCCCTCCACTAGGTCCCTATATGACTGTAAATGGAGGGTGTTTGAAGCCTGGTGTCAGGGCAGGGAGGTCTCACCCTTCCAATGCCCGGTGAACGTCATTCTGTCTTTCCTGCAAGACTTGTTGGATGGGAAGAAGGCTTTCTCCACCATTAAAGTGTACCTAGCAGCCATTTCCTCCCGACACTTGGGTTTTGGGAAGAAACTGGCAGGTCAACACCCCCTGGTGTGTAGCTTCATGAGGGGCGCGCGCAGGCTTCTCCCTGTGTCTCGACCCCTGGTGCCCTCATGGGATCTGTCCTTGGTGCTGTCGGCCCTCTCCGGGCCTCCATTTGAACCTATGGACGGCCTGGACCTTAAGATCCTGTCTCTTAAGGTGGTGCTACTCCTGGCTTTGGTATCTGCAAAGCGAGTTAGTGACTTACAGGCTCTCTCTGTGCACCCATCCTGCACCCAGTTTGCACCCGGTGACATGAAGGTGTCCCTGAAGCCCAACCCTGCCTTTGTGCCTAAGGTGGTGGGCTCCTTTTCTCCTATTATCCTCACAGCTTTCTACCCGCCACCCTTCTCCTCTCCTGAGGAGGAGCGGTGGCACAAGCTGTGTCCGATTCGCGCGCTCAAGGAGTATGTGAATCGGACGGAGAACCTTCGCAGGGGGGACCAGCTTTTTGTGTCATGGGGTGGGCCTCGTAAGGGGAAACCCGTCACAAAGCAGAGGCTTTCCCACTGGATTGTGGAGGCTATTTCTATGGCTTACTCCTGTCAGGGCATTCAGGCTCCTGTTGGGCTCAGGGCCCATTCTACTAGGGGCCTGTCTGCTTCTTGGGCCCTTTTTCGGGGGCTGTCAATCCAGGAGATTTGTGCTGCAGCAAGTTGGGCTTCTCCACTTGCATTTGCACGCTTCTATAAGCTTGATGTTTCGGTCCCTGCAATGACTCACACGATTCTGAGTGTGGGGTCTTTGGCGGGCCAAGACGTATCCCTGTAGGTTGGTGATCGCTGGATAAGCTGTCTGGCAATACGGGAGTCTCCATATCCCATAGTGAGACATCGAAACGAATGTTAAGAAAGAGAACTTTAGGTTACTGTCGTAACCCCGGTTCTCTGAGTAACATGAGTGAGATGTCTCACCAGACAACCCTTCTTGCTGGGCGAAGCGAGAAGAGGTGTTTATCTTGAATAGTGCGTACGTTGGGACGCTTGCTACTTATAGTAGCAGGGGGACGCGTACGTCACGGTCACTGGCCAATCAGGATTGGCGTATTGAGATAAGTGCTTCTGAGGAATCCGCGGAGGGGCGTATCCCATAGTGAGACATCTCACTCATGTTACTCAGAGAACCGGGGTTACGACAGTAACCTAAAGTTTCTGCCCACAACCAAAATATGGAGGAGCCTCTAGGATGAGAGTAGGCCGGGGCGATATGGCATAAAGTCAATAGTGAATTAAGGGTTTTAGATCGTGTTTTGGGATATTACCTGTATATGTGAATATCCTTACAGCGCCCCATTTTTTCACACCACTCCTGTGTGCGGGTGTCCATGGTTGGGTTGAGGTCTGTGTCATAGAAGATGATGGTTTCTGCGTCCACCATGGTCCCAACTGCAGAGCAGCAGCGGTTGGTCAGGATGCAGCAGAACACCTGTCTGCTCCTGTTGAACTTCTTCATGTTTTCCTGCAGGTTCACACAAACAAGAGCCGGTAAAGGCTAAGAACAACTATACAGGCTTTTATCACACTGGAACTGTTCTTAAAAAACTGATTAGTGAATCCAACCCGCCACAGATCTCAAAATGCAGTCAGATTTCATCCTCTGATGGAAGGTTTCTAATATTCAGCACAATCTAAGAATAAGAACTTAAAGACCTTTTTGGGTTTGCAAACATATCACTGTTGAACAGCTAGAAAGAGAAAATAAGGCACTTTTATCTGTCTGTGAAATCACCATCATTAAAACACTCATTTACTTAGGAAAAAAAAAAGATTTTCTATGTAGAAGTTTTACTTTCCACAATCTTGACTATAAAGTTATAATGATAATTCTAGTTTCAGATGAATCAGAGCCTGTGTGAGCCGTTAAACAAGAATCCATTCGTCTCTAGAAGATGCTGATTAAACCACAGGACCAGGCATGCCTGATGATGTCCACACACTAAAACATAATTCATGTTCTGCACAGAGAACTGCTCTAGAAGATTCGCTTCCAATGATCTTCTAATGAAAACGTGATTTTTTTTTACCTGTCTTTCATCTGAAGTGAGCCCTTCATCAATGCGCACGTAGGTGAGCTGCCTGTAGTCCAGGAAGGCCTCCAGGATGTCCAGCATCTTCAGCATCTGAGTAAAGATCAGGACTCGTCTACTCTCAGATCGGAGCTTCTGCAGCAGGATGGCGAGAGCTTCTAGTTTACCTTTGGAGACAAAAAGAAAGACGGAGCAAAATTTATTATGAGCATGTTTTTGCTTCTGGCGACTCAAAGGAAAGAAAAGTCACTTTCACCACAAGATTAGATCAGATGTGATGAGAAGAGATTAAAATAGACTAATTGGTTTGTCTTTAAAGGTAGAGAGCCAACCTGAGTCCATCTGCAATAGCTGAAGGTCAGAATAAGTCAAGAAACGTCTGGATGATAATCTGTGGATGTCTGCACTGAGCGGGGCAAAAGCTGCGCTGAGTCGTCGCTGAAAGGACTTCTGCTCAAGGCTGTAGGATGCGGGAGGATCGGCTGCATACAGGTGAGGAGGCGGAGCCACAGCAGGAGGTACCACACAGGTCAACCTAAAAGATAACAAATCAGAAATAACTGCGACATACTGATAAATTAAATAGAAAGCAGGAAAAAAACCTTTGTAATTTTTTAGCAGTTTGATTATTTGAAAACAAGTCAAGTATACACAGGCAGCTTAAATGAGATGTAAAGTTTTCCTAATGAGGAAAGATGGTTTCTGGATAGGGGTGGGCATCGGTTGGAACCAGGACTAACGGAGTGTTTCCCGGAATCGCTCAAATTACTTTGCTATGATTCCATTTTAATTCTCAGGCTGCCGACCGGAAGAAGAATCTGCAGCCGATCTTCGAGAAAAATACACGCAATGTGCAAATTCTGATCAACGCCTTTCAGAGCTGATCCCACCAGCTGTCTGTCAGTCCTACTCTGCAGCCCGCAGAGACCCTGAGAGCAGCATCACGTACTCCCTCCCTTTCCTCACACTGCGCGGGCGCACAGCGGCAAACACGTCTGCCGAACTTTTACTCCATAATGGAAACTTTAATTCCTGCAGCGAAAAATGTGGTGCGGAGGAAGCTCATTAAAATGCATCATTGTGGTGGATTTAATACAAGTTTTAAAGAACAAACTTCGGGCGATGTGAGGTGAGTGTCTCACTGCAGAAATAAAAACACACATGGAGCGTCAGCAGTCAAACGCAGCGTCTCACCAACACTCGTCTGTGTGAGCGTCAGAGGGCTGAGTGATAACCTGTAAAATAATTAAAGTCATCATGCTAGAGCAGCCTCTCTCTGTGGTGGACCACACCGGGTTCTGGCCACTAGGAGCCGATAGCAGGGTTTCCCCCAGCGCTTTATAAGTCTGGCGGCCCGCCAGGCTGAGCGTCATGCCCCGCCCCCCGACCCGACCCTACCGTGTCCGCTGACACGAACGGCGCAGTGAAACTAGAGCCCTCTATCAGCTGACACTGGTGAGAAACAGCAGCGGAACGTGTGCTACCCCCCCACCCCTGCTCTCACGGAGGAGCGCTGCTGGACGGAGCGTGCGACCCCCCCGACGGCCGAATCCGCCAGGCTTAACTAATAATCTGGGGGAAAACCTGCGATAGGGATAGTAAATAAATAAAAAAATAATAACCATATAACAAATCTCAACACGCAAAGTTGAGAGATTATTTCTTTCATTTTTGAACTATTTAGTTTGTTGAGTTTTAATGTTATAAATCTGTTAGATTGTTACTGACGGCAGCGACATTTAAGTTTCAGTTTGTCTTCTGACTGAATCTCTGCTGCATCACGTTGGTGTAGATTCTCAGTCATCCTGGACATGATCATCCTGAGAGTTTTAGCTGAAAGCAGCTGGACTTTTCTGGTTAGATTGAAGACATTTAGCCTCTCATCTTGGGTTGGGCAATAAATCGAAAATTTATCATAGAAATTTCTGACTCTTATTGAGAAAAATGTTCCTACGTTAATAAATTTGATAATAAAAAAATGAAAAGATGTGTGTAGGTTGGAAACGTTCATGTCCCTTTAAGACTTTTGTTTCTGCGCATACCTGTAGTTATCGTTCATTTATTGTTATTGAGGTGAAATCCTCAATATATCGTGATATTGACTTTATGCCATATCGCCCTGCCCTACTCTCATCCTAGAGGCTCCTCCATATTTTGGTTGTGGGCAGAAACAAACACACTGGTTGAGCTGCAAGTCTTTTTGTTAGTTTCTTGAGAACATGTTTCTTTTCTAAATGAAGGTGATGTTATTGTTCATAGGATTAAAATTCATGTTAAAGTTCAGATTAGGTTAGCTGGCTCATTTAAAACTTGTAATGTTTTTGGATCCTGCCACTTGAAAGAATCAGAATCGGGAATCGCTAGGAACCAGAATGAAACGAAGAATGGGAATCGTTCAAATTCAAACAATGCCCAACCCTAATTCTGGATCAGTTTAGGAAGGGATTCCTCCATTGATCTGTTTCATCTTTGCCTTTAGTTAAAATCACTGAAACTATTGTTTCGTTTGTGCTTTTAAGGCCCAGTGGGGAGTAACACCGGCTTTAACTCCTTACACCGTTCAGCTGTAGAGCGTTCTGGACTACTAATGGCCTAAATAAGCTCCATTCTGTTATTTATACTGTCATTTTTGCACTTTGTTCTTCAGACTTACTCAGACTAATTATTTCTTCACTCCCACCTGAAACATTTAGAGTATAAAGATTAGTAAAACACTTATATATAATTTAGTCTTCCTTTTGTTTAAGGGCCTTGTTACTGTACTTTCAGTGATTACGTTTTTAATTTCTACACTAAAATGCTGTTGATATGGAACCACTTTATGTATTTGTATCATTTATTTTATTTCTGGCATTTTTAATATCCTCAAAGGTATTTCATGTTGACAGTTGTTTGTGTTTAATTTCCAGTTCTCTCCATTTATTCTGCAAGTCCTCCATTTTATCATTCCTCATATTTTTCCAATATGATTTTATATTATTGTATATTATTGTATTGGATACAAATGCACAATAATGATGATTTCATATCAGCCTCTACAATATATATATATATATATATATATATTATTGATGCTCTAAATGATTTCTAAATATTACCTCCTGATCAGGCTTTCAGCAGCCTCCACATGGTTCTCCACAGAAAGCAGAGTAGCCTGCAGCGCAGAGGTGGTACCCACAATAGTCCTCTGGGCCCTGAGACAGCTCTCCATGCCCACCCACCTCCAGCCTCCAGCGGTCAAAGCAGAGTGACTGGGTTCTGGACTCAGAAGGCAAGCCTGCAGCAGGTCTGACCCGTACAACACTCTACGGCTGCAGCGTCGCTCGTTGGCTGCAAACAAACGGCTCAGACGCTCCTTCAGCAGCGAGGTCTTCTCCTCTGAATCCTGTAAAAGGAAACAGGATCAGTAAAAGGGTTATGCTTTCCTACTGAAGACTTCACAACCAAAAAATACATGATCATTAAAAAAATGACAGATTTAATAAACTTTAAAAACAAACTATACAAAACATTTAAAGTATTCCACTTTAAGAAAAGATTGCATAAAAGTACAGGAGCTGGTTTTACCTGTGAACAGAAAGCCTTCATGTTTACTGATGACTCAAATGTTCATTTTACAATTACAGTGAACCCTCACTATAAAACTGTTCATCTTTCATGGCATTGCAGTTTTGTAGATGTTTTATTGTGCAGTTTTGCATGCTTTTTCTTAGGGATGCATATTGTTTAACTGGTTATTGAAGCCATTAAATTATTAATACACAGTTAACCATAAACTCCCCCTCCCAAAAATGTATTACACCCACGCACAGCAGAAAAACGTGAGCTCAGCTGGAAGTTAACCAGGCAAAACTATTTTACCCGGTTACAACATTAACAACAATTAACCGGTTGACTATGTACATCCCTACTATTTTCTAATTGTGTTCTGCATCCAAATGTACAAAGGTTTGAGCTTTGAGAGTGTTTAAACAAGAGGGAGCAGTGTGAAAATGTTAATGTCTGTCTGAGAAAAGCGAATGAAGTGTGTAGTGAAGGGTTTTACAGACAAACAATTACGGCCGAGTGGATAAGCACATCTGCAGAGATGAGGAGCACGCTGACTGTGCCACAGCTGGAGCACATTAGTAATCAGTGCTACTGTGCTCTTACAAACAGGAAGAGGAGACAAGTCTCTACAACGTGACATCGAGAGACTGAATCGCTGGAGTGTGTGTGGACAAATAAAACTGTTCATCCATGCTGGAAATAAAACTGAGTAACGGACATTGTGGTGTGCTTTAATCTAGCTGCGTACGCTACAAACATCTGTAATAACTGTTAAAAACAAAGCAGACTACTTTGTGGATTTTGCCTATTGCAGGTGATTTTTAGAACGTAACTCTCATAACTAATCGAGGGACCACGGTTATCAAAAATGCTAATTTATTTGAACTTGAAGTGATTTTTTTAATCATGAAAAGGTTTGATGACATCAGCTGTAAACATACTGACCTGGGAACCTCCATGAGCTGCAGCAGCGTGCTTGCTGGGGGATGACGTGGCGTTCGCTGTCACGCCTGACAATTATTACAAAATTATTCATTATCAATACCAGAATCAAAGTGATAATCTCAAAGTTTTACCTTTGAACGTTCAGCATAAGAAAACAACAGTGAAGGGGACACTATGGAGATACTTACCCTGAACTGCTGACAAAGCAGGAAGAGGTGCGCCGGCTGTGGCCGAAGGCCCAGAAGCAGCAACAGTTTGAGGAACCGTCTGCATCACCATCTGCCCCTGGGGTCTTATGATCTGCTGCCCTGGTGCAGACACAATGTGCAGGATGTTGCCTAAAGACAGGACACACAACACTTACAAAAGATGGCTTCTGCTTTCTCACACAAGAATGTTTAATCAGGAGAAAAATGAAGCCCGTCAGAAGAAAGGATAGTAAGATTAAGACAGAAACAATGGTGCAGAAAACTACAAAATCTACTGTAATATTAACTGTATGCTGGACATTTATTTATTTTGATAAGCATTCATTACAAACCGAAGGGAACGGAAACACGAGGAAAGCAGAGAAGGTAAAAAATATCTCATAAAAAAGGGTGATCCTGAATGATTTCCTTCATTGTTTTCCTGTTTAAACGACACCTCAGATTAAGCAAGTAAGTAAGTAAAAGTTTATTTATATAGCACACAGGTAGTAAACATTCAAAACGTTGTCAGTCCTGAGTGACTCACTATGAAGCAACTACAAGGAAACATCACCAAGGCACACAACAGAAGAGTGTTAGAGAGAGAATTGTGACAATGGGATATACATTACCGAGTGTACCTTGGAGCTGCAAGGGCTGTCCGGTGGTGAGCTGGCGGAGCTGGCTGGGGGACAACGTGAACTTGTTCCCCTGAAACTGGAGCGTGACTGGAGTCTCCGGTTGGGAGATACGATTCTGACCAGCCAGCTGTGCAATCTTCACCACATCTCCACCTTCAGATGAGAAGAACAACACACCCTTAGAGACAGCCTGGAAAGGTGCAGCAGCGTTTCTACACTCACAGAGTAACAACCGCAGTTAGTTAAAGGGTGAAAAAGAAACCGGACATGCAGAACCAGGGTGGATTAATCAGATGAAGAGCACGGCTCCTCTTCACAACAGAATCACAGAAGCTCCTACATAAAACCGCTGAAGGGCAGATAAACAAAGCACTCAAATGGGACACTTTTTCAAGACAACACACAGGTCACGAGGGCGGGGGGTGGGGTCAAAAAGTACTTACTATGTTTATGTCCTATGACCAATAACATGTCATAAATAAATGATAAAACTGTGCACCCGTAAGGAGAAATAAATAAAGGGAGAATTGACATTTTTAAGAGAATAAAACAGAACTGGTGCTTTTCTTTATTTTAAAATTTTATTTGTTTTGAACAATTTCTTGATTTTGACTCAAATTATTTTGCATTATAAAAAAAACAACAAACAAAAGGCATGAAACCAAGTAGAGATAGTTCATAATGTAAACCGATCGGCTGGTGTATAAAAATGCTGAGGCTTGTTTCATTGAAGCTACTTTTATGTCCATTAAGGATTCCGTTTGTGGTGTTTTATACATACATGCCTTATCCGGACGCCGTTTGTGGAGATTCCTAACAAATATGAAAGCTTGCTGCTGTTTCCTTTCATCAGATACATTTTACTGTGTCTTTTATTGTATATGTGCCTCTGTAGGTTTGAGTCCTGGGCAGGATTCCTAACCTCAGACAGGCATACCCTGGTTACATAAAGGTTTGTGTCTGATTATTTAATTTGCTTCAATAACAAATGATCACTTGCGCTAACATTTATTCTCATCTTTTGAACATTCAGAAAAGTAATCACAGCACGGCTTCAATTCATTTGGTTGCTATGATTTTAATATTACTGGCATTTAACATCAAAATAATGCTCCTAGCTAGCCCCAGATGATGATAAAACACTGTGAGACAATAAATATGAATTAAGTCTCAAGGGAATGATTAATTTCTTCACCTAAAAGCGAGAGAGCAAAAAAAGCTGCATAAATGAAAAGAACCCCTTTTAAATGGTTTTAATGTCCATATGGATTGGTACTTGGTTCAGACTGAAAGTTGATCCATGTTGGCTTTTCTTTTTTCAATACCGATATGTAGAGGTCACGGTCAGCTGACGGCCGATATTTGCTGCAGATTATTTGAGCCGATTCTCATGACCGATATCTAGATTTTCATGTTTATTCTAGATGTTTATTGTGGGCAGTCTAAGGCACACCTGTACATTATTCATGCGGTCTAATCAGCCCCTTGATGTGCCACACCTGTGAGGTGGGATGGGTTATCTTGTTAAAGGAAAAGGGCTCAACACACATGTAGACAGGTTTCAGAACAATATTTGAGTCATGGGTCTTTTGTGTATGTAAACAAATGCTCAGATGTTTGAGTTCAGCTCATGAAAAATGGGAGCTCAAACAAAAGTGTTGCATTTATATTTTTGTTCAGTGTAAATAAAAATGAAACTCTGCAGCAGCACTGGGCTGCCCGAGGATGTGCCAGATCTAAAATCAGCTTTACTACGGAGGTATGTCGGCTGATGCTGATATAAATAAAATGGGAAATATCAGCTCCATGTCGGCAGACTAATATATCGGTCTAGCCCTTGTTCAGATGACAATATGTGTCATTTGGGGTAATGTCCTTCTGAAGACCAGGCAAAGATCAGAAAACTGACTTTGATAAAAGTTGCACAAACATTATTTATTTAGTAACTCAAAATGTTCCTGTTTAATAAAAATCACATATTTAACGGTCTAAAACACCCACCGCCTGACCTCTGGTCATTTTAATGGCTAACGTGACAAGAGACCGCACCTAAAAACCATGAAGACCATCTTCAGAATCAAAAAGGTGTTTATTTACATATTTAATTGCTGTGTGTCACCGAAAAAGTTTCTCTGTTCAAATCTAAGGAAACAGCTTTGATCATCAGGAGGAATGTTCCTACATGCTGGAGAGCGACGGTCAACACTGGACAAAAACAAAAATCACAACAACAGCAGCTTCGGGCTTCTTCTTGCTGCTGGGCTGATGCAAGACAAAAGAAAATTAGTGTATTTGGAGAAAATATATTAAAAAGAAGGGGCAGACGTTGTAAATAAAGGGGAGTATTTCCTGGACTTTTCAACCTGGAGCATTTTTTCCATATTTGGGTGGAAATTGCAAAAATCTGCAAAATGGACTCAAACTTGGTGAAAACCACGACAAAGTTTAGCTGAATAAAGGTGGGTTTCTTAGGATTTGTGTGTGGAACAAGGTGTTCTTGCTATGAAAAATATTAAAGCAAAGCTTGTTTAGGTGAAAATTGTTTGTCGTATAATAATCACGGTTACTATGTCATCGTCATCATCAGAGAGCTAAACAGGATGAGATTATGATACCATAAAACAGTTTACTAATATTTAATCATTTAAATATAATTAAAAGTATTCATCTTGGCCAGTGTGGTCCGTTATGATATGAATTAGTCATATACCGGTATACATCGGAATAGCCTAGACAACGTCTGAAACGTTTGCTGTGGGAAAGTGTTTCAGCGGGGACCGATTTCACTGCTACACACCAACACTAAACTCAAGCTAACTGCACAGCTAGTGGAGGTAGCTGGCCAAAATGTGTGAAATGACATGTGTGTGTAGATTTATCATTTCCTGGAATAAATTAAAGATGTGGAACAATGAAAAAAAAAACTTTTTGATGATTATTTCTGATTATAATCGGTCACTGAGTTTTTCATAAAGGCTGAACATGAAAATAGTCTCCTACACCTATCTCCTGCATTAGCTTCTGATAGAAAATACAGTGAAACTCTAGGATTAGAAAACTCGACAGATCTCTCGTCTCCTGGGACTTCTTTTTATGATATAGATCTTGGTCTCCCCTCCCCCTGCCACACCTGGTGTGGGGTGTGGTGCCTTGGTCTGCCTGAGTGTTCGTGGCAACCGGGTCTGGGGGTTTATGATTTTGGCATCTGCCTGATAGATCCCGGTGGCTGCCTGGTGGGGTCTGGGCCCCTGGGCTCTGCTGGGTCCCCGGCGGGGGTGGTCGCCCCTGGGTCCCGGGTTGCTGGGTCCCGGGCTCGGCCGGCTAGGGGGTGGGAGGCGGCGGGCGGGCCTGTGGGCTTGCCGCTGATATCTCCCGGGGCTCTGCCGGCTGCTGGTTGTGGCCCCCTGGGGCGATCCTCTGTGCCTCTTGAGGGGGGCGGGGGCCTTTCTGCTTGCAGTCTCTTTGGGGTTCCTGTGTTCTGGGGCAGCGCTTGGATCTCTGGGACTTGGAGCTCCCCCCGTCTCCTACGCATCGTTGGGGGGCAGATCTGTGATCCCTCACACTCTATTGGGCGCTCCTATAGAGAAACCTTACATAAACAAGCGCGTGTACACACACAGGTGCTCACATGTTGCTCTCATAAGTATGGACTTGGGCACGTTCAACACATGTCTTAAGGCTGTCGTTGCCACTAAATGCACTATGATTTATTATCGTGTGATTGTTCAGTTAAACAATGTTGATTTTATATTTCACCATCAGGTTGACGCGGTGATAGCTTGCTCCTGTTGTATTGTTGTGTGTCCCTTTTTTTTCTTCTATTCTTTCTCTTTCTGCAGGTTTAGAAGCAGACTCCTGTTAATTATTGTTTATTTTTGTGGACCCCCCCCCCCCCATCCCCTTCCCCCTTCTCTCCCCACCTTTTGTCTTTTCCTTTCTCTTTCACCTCTGTCTCCGTGTCTGGTCAGAATTACAAAGCATTTAAAAAAAACAATAATAAAGTTTTAAGTATCAGGCGTGACATTAAAAGCAAACGCTTTGATGCTCCACCTGAGAGTAAATCTGTAAGGCTTGTCACCAGCATTCAGACATCAATTCTGTTTGCTTCACAGCCGGACAGGACACGGTAAAAAATAAAAATAAAGAAAAGAAAACTCGACATATCTATGTCACACTGTCACTTATCATGTCTTTTTGATAACTTCACTCATCTTGACTCACGACGGGGATGTTGGTTTAGTGTCCAGGAAACAGCAAAGAATGTCTTGACTAGCAGAAGCTAACCTTTAGCCTTAGCAGCTCCACCACACAGCAAAGCTCCTCCAGATTTAAGTTATTTGTGAAGATGAAACATCAACATTGCAGAGCAAACAGAGTCAGTGGTAGAGCTGTGTTGCTGTTAGCCAATCAGAGGTGAGATATTCAAATAACAGGAAAGGAGACTCCAAATCCTGTCAAATGAAGCCACTGTCTCCTCCAGCTGAACTCTACGTGCGGATGCAGCCACTTCTGGGCTTTTTATCACCCGAGAATGACTTACGAGGCATTCATTAATACAAGAGACCTCTAAAAGTGTGTTGATTAAACAAGTGTTCCACACCTTTAACTTACACCAGTTCGGATTTTTCCTTCAGAAGGACTTTTGTCTTCTTCCACAAATGTAACGGCTGTTAGCTTTAACCCCATCATATTTTATTGTCCCACAACATTAAGACTGTGTTACCAGTTTCCCCACAAGATGAGTCGTATTGCCAAGGTGTTGAAAATAATCTGCACCCACATGTAAAAAAGAAAATAGTGACCAGATCAAAAACAACTCCAGGATTGTTGAAAGAAAAGCGCAGTGATGCGAGGTGTGTCATTCGTAGTGTACATGCAGGGGTCAAGAAGGAAAGTGGGGAATAACAGATGAGATGCTGCTGATACGGCTACCGGTCTAGAAGGTCCAACATGAGCTGAATAAACATCTACTACTGCTGTAATCTAGGTGCTGTGAGAGTTGTTTAAAGGGATAAAGACTGAAGACATACCAGCAGCACCTCAATGTAGGACTCAGCCTACGGCAGCCAAAAACGGTTGTGCCAGAAGTGGAGGGGAAAATGCTGAGATGGAGGGGAAAACAGGCCACTTACTAGGCAACCGTGCCTGGGCCTGAGATGAAAGAACCAACCTCTGGGACAGTAAGCTGGGCTGGATGGCATGGCTGGGGGCTACAGTATGCCTGGAGACCTGTGTTAATCTAGGGTGGCTGACAGGGGCCATAGAGGCCACAACTGTTCCAGCTAAGGTCTGAGCCAAGGCCATGGTGGCACCCCCCAACACATGCTGCCCACTGCCACTGTTCCCAGAGGCAGCTACGAAGGAAGCTGCAGTGCTGCTGCTGACAGGAGGAGGAGCCTGGGCTCTCTGAGTAGCCGATCCACTGGCTGTGAAGTACAAGGCAATGGGGTACGGGACTTCGTGTTAGGGTTAACGCAGTATTTAGTCAGCTTATTAGGATCACACTGTTTTCTGTATTTATACACTCAGCAGTGGTGGGCAAACACAGTAGGAAGGTTGGACTGATCCATAATATTAACAATGCAATGGCAGGACAGAGATGTGTGATGTATACAGGGCTTTAGTTCCATCAGTTACTATTCAGCTGTAGCATGCTAGCAGAGCTAACCCTGCAGGAGTCGGCTACATTCACCATGTTCAGGATCAGCTACCATGACAACAGAAAAGCTTTCTGGGTCTGCTTTTACAGGATATATGCATTTAGACAAGATGGCTACTCTCCACGCCTGGAATGGGAAGATTTATAATAAAGAAGGTTAATTTGAATTTGATGGGTTTTGATGTAACTTATTTCATCCACACAGTAAAACAAAGGTCAAAGTCTTCTCTTCATGCTGTGTTTTCAATAGTGACTTAACTGCCAATAGTACCTATATATCCACCAGCCCACCATTGCTGCACTTTAGGTATGCAGTTTAACAGATTAATACTTTATGGCAACTGCCTCATGAAGTTTATTCCAAATCCTAAATCTATGTCTGACCCCATCTTTCATTTTAATGCAAGACAGTAAACAGAATTCATTTTTATTTAATTCAAAATAGCATCTCGATAATGCAGGAATATGCTTGATAATGCAGACATCATCAGCATAAAATGTCTCAAGGCACATGAATAAAAAGCACCAAGCAAACAGCTGCAGGACAGGATGTAAACTCTATTCTTACAATATGAAGGACAGAAAATCAGAAGTCCTCTAGATGACGTTGACAGCGACGTCCCAAACACCCCGGAGAGCTTACCTTGAGAAGTGGGTGTAGTCGTTGCAGTGGTGACGGGGGACTTGCCCCTGGTTTGGCTTGACTGGCTGGTAGAAGATGAAGTGATGGTGAGGGGAGAGCTGGTTGGGGGGCGCTGAGCTGCTGCATTTCCGATGGCAGCCAAGCGACCTTCTGGCTTTGTGCCATACTGCACCGGCTGGAACAATCTACCAAAACAGTCAAACATTAGCACAGTGCTACGGATCTTCACATAAACCAGGGACTGAAGGGAACCGTTAATCTGACCTCATGGGTTTGATTGGACATGGCTTGGGTCGTGGTGGCTGGTCTGGACCCGTGTAGATCTCTTCTATGAGCTGCTGGGACAACTTTAGCTTGGGTACTGCCTCCTCAGTCTGATACCGAGTCAGTCTGTTCTCGTTGTTGATCAGATCGAATATGGAAAGGTTTGCAGACTGAGGTAATTCAAAATGAGACAAGAGAAGACAGGGACATGGAATTATGGATCAAATTTTAAACTAAATATCAAATATATCAAAAAGAAAAGCTACAACATGGACCAAAGATAATTAAGCTTAAAGAACTGTTGCTTTCATAACAATCACCAAAGAGGTTTCTTCTGTTGTTGTAAGAACCCTAAAATATTAACATTTGTTTCTCAAAAACTAAAATAAAGATTTGCTTCATTCCAGAAAATTCAGCTAAAATATTAAAACACAATTAGGAAATTAAATGATAAGTTTGTAGTCTGCTTGTGCACAAAGTACCCTTGTAGTTGAGGATGTTTGTTGCGGAGTGTTTACCTCGCTCGACTGACTCTGAATAGCCTCCAGAACCAGTGATGGGACGTTATACTGGAGAGAAGCGCAGCAGAGGGAGCTGCTGGTCTCTCTGGGTGCCACCAGCTCTGGGTGGTTACACACTCGCTGCAGCTGCATCAAAACCTGAAGCACACTGACAAAATTACCCGTCTTCAGCGACTCCTGGGTCCTTGGAGAGAAGAAATTAAAACAAGAAATTAATTACAGCATAAGATGTACACCTGGTTTCATTAGGTTTACATTTGTTTTCCTCTGATTGGTAGTTAGGTTGATTCCTACGTATGTTTTCAGATTAAGTATGTTTAAATCTTTTGAACTTGTGTAATGTCCAGCAATGGTCAGTTTTCAGGTACTGTTTGACCATTCAACATCTGGTAAAAATGGAGACAAGAGACTGCATGTGTTCCCTTTAAATCGGCCCGCCTTCATCCCATCAGCTGGAGCTCAGAGCCTCTCTGCAGCTCTGAACACATGATAACGTGTTGTCAACAATGATGTTCTCTCCTCAAGGTCCAAGCTTCCCCTTATCGTCCTACAGGATTCTTCATGCCTCCGAATAAGGAACACTCGCAGCTCGGATTAATTGTTGAATCAAAGAATGACTTCTTAAATTAAATATGAACTTTTAAACTTATAAGCTAGGTAATCAGTAAATAAACATTTGTTTATCGCTACTTATAATAATTATAAAATAATGAAATGCTTTCATTAATCTGTGCTCAATGATTGAAGTTTGAAATGAATGTTATGATTACATTGATCGATATATGTTTCAGCATGCTGATATGACAAGGTCATCACCATGTGCCTGGAAGTCTGAGGTCTTCGACAATCCGGATCTATCACGAGGGTCTTTGAGTGGGTGTGTAGACACACAGATTGCGTCTGATGTGTTTTTGATAATAATCAACTTCATAGCTTAACGCAAACCAAATTCTTTTACATTCAGAATTCAGCTCTCCTAGATACGGAAGTTCTGATAACATCGCATTCACACCTAGGTTTCATTCATCACATCTAGTTCCATCCATCACAGTAAATGTTAGTTAACCAGTCATGTTTTGTTTGTAAAATAAATTCTTACTTTTATAAACCTGACTCTTTTCTGAATCAAAACGAAGTGTGTACAATCCCTGAATAAAACAAAGAATCCTAGAATCTTCTGATTAAACACAGTAAAGACCAAGCAGGCTGATATTCTATATTCATATAGAATATCACATCTTATTGGTCATAAGTAGAGGTAATATATATTGAGCTCTTAAAGCAGTCAAATTCTCAAACCCTACACTGGCCATCGTTTGTATAAAGTCCAGGAAACCCATTGTTGTATAATCAGAGACATTCAGAAGAAATCACACTACAGAGGTACATTAGTGAATATGTCACCCTGGCTGAGTAAGGATGTCCTCATAAAGGCTCTTCTGTCTGCTGGAGAGACGACACTTTAGGATGTGTTCGTACTTCTTGGGAAGCTGTTTCTCCACGTCCCTCTTGGACCGTCTCAAGATGAACGGCTGAATCATCTACGATGAAGTGTGAAAGAAGATTTAATGCAACATGTATTCATATGGTAAATGTTCTGTATTTGCATAGTGCCATTTTAGGGTTCTACAACCCCCCAGAGCGCTTCACAACACATTCATACACTGGTGGGGTTGAGCCACAGCTGCTCTGGGGAGCACAGACACAGACGAGATCTGCCGAACACTCCGACCACCACCGGGATCGAAGCTGGGATCAAACCTGCAACCTTCTGATTGCTGGACAACCTGCTCTACCTCCTGAGCTACTGCGGCCCCAGTAGTGACAAAGTGCTGTAAACGGTAGGGTTGGGCATCGTTAGAATTTGACAGATTCTGATTCCAATTCCTTGTTTCGATTCCGGTTCCTATTGATTCCCAAATCCGATTCTTTCAAGTGGCAGGATCCAAAACTTGACATGTTTTACATGAGCCAGCTAAACACAGGTTATCTGAACTTTAGCATGAATTTGAATCCAATGAACAATAACATCACCTTCATTTAGAAAAGAAAGAAAGAAAAAGACTTGCAGCTCAATCAGTCTGTCTGTTTCTGCCCACAACCACATTATGGGGATTGAAGGAGCCTCTAGAATGAGAGGCTAAATGTCTTCAATCTAACCAGAAAAGTCCAGCTGCTTTCAGCTAAAACTCTCAGGATGATCATGTCCAGGATGACTGAGAATCTAAACCAACGTGATGCAGCAGAGATTCAGTCAGAAGACAAACTGAAACTTAAATGTCGCTGCCGTCAGTAACAATCTAACAGATTTATAACATTAAAACTCAACAAACTAAATAGTTCAAGAACGAAAACAAAAATGTCAACTTTGCTTGTTGTGAGCTTTACTTATTTATAATCCCTATCGGCTCCTAGTGGCCAGAACCTGGTGTGGTCCACCACAGAGAGGCTGCTCTAGCATGATGACTTTAATTATTTTACAGGTTATCACTCAGCCTTCTGACGCTCACACAGACGAGTGTTGGTGAGACGCTGCGTTTGACTGCTGACGCTCCGTGTGTGTTTTTATTTCTGCAGTGAGACAAACTCACCTCACACCGCCCGAAGTTTGTTCGTTAAAACTTGTATTAAATCCACCACAATGATGCATTCTAACACACTTCCTCTGTGCCGTATGTTTTGCTGCAAGAATTAAAGTTTTCATCACGGATTAAAAGTTCGGCAGACGTGTTTGCCTCTGCGTGCCTGCGCAGTGTGAGGGAAGGGAGGGAGGACGTGATGCTGCTTCAGGGTCTCTGCGGGCTGCAGAGTAGGACCGACAGACAGCTGGTGGGATCAGCTCTGAAAGGCGCTGATCAGAATTTGCAGATAACAATTTTGTCAGAGCCGCAGATTATTCTCCCGGCCGGCAGCCTGAGAATTGAAACTAGGAATCGAAACAAGTTGGCCCCGGTTCCAATCAGTGCTTGATGTTCGATGCCCAACCCTAGGAAGCAGAGTAGAATGCAGGCTCTGTACCCACCCTATGCAGACGGATGACCAGTTTGTGGCAGTAGTCCTGGTTCTGGTCTGTGCCGGCCTTAACAGGGAAATCAGAAAACGGTCTGGTGATGCCTGGCAGCAGGAAGTGGATCATGGTCCACAGCTCTTTGAGAGTATTCTGCAGAGGAGTGTTGATAAGGAGGATCCTCTGATCACTGTAGGAAACAAACAGTAACAACCCAAAATTAACTTACATACA